ATTCAGACCCCCTCACATGCACTTTCTCTTCCCTGATGCAGCAGCTCTGAGATCAGCGTCAGAGAGCTCACTCCTGTGATGGTGGAGATGAACAGTAATGGCTGGGAGTTTTTTAGCATCATCCTGGCAACAAGAAAGGATGGGATGATGAAATCTCTGGGAGTTTTTCAGACAGGCTACAAGATGTACGTGAATGGCCTACACCTATAGCAAGGGCATTATTCAGATTTGGTCAAAGCTGCACAGCTTGTTTTTATCCACAGGTGCCCTTTATCTACATTGGTAATTTTTTGGTAAAGGTGAACTTTGCCTTTAAACCACAGTCATGTCACACTGCAGCCTGTGTCTTCTCCGCTTTTGTTTTACTTCCTGCCTGGAGTCCTTCTTTTGGTGTCCACATCAGTACCTGAACAATAAGGACACTTCCTATTGGATGTCAAGTAGTGAGGTCCTCTCAGGATCCAGAAGAGGACTATGCTATCAGAAAGGTTTGGCAGGGGACCCATGCTCTCTTGAGAGGGCATCACAGCACTGGATCAGCAGTCTCTCCATGTGGAACTGGTGGCAATGAGGGAGCTGGAGGAGGGATTTAGGTGAGTATATCAGATTCACAAGGTAGGAAGCAAAAATTGGGAAGGAGGGATGGTCAATAATTACTTTTATCCCAGAATGGGGCTTAAATTAAGGTCTGCAAGACCAAGAACACGATACAGTGTGCTAACAACTTACTGCGCTCCGGATGAGGCTGTAACCTTAATTGTCAAAGATCAGGTTTGCATGGTTGTATGATTACTTCAGTAGTAGTCTTAGCCTGGGTTCACACTTGTGCGGTGAGCATACCGCATGTGATTAGCACAGGAACCGCACCGCATTCCTGTGCAAATCACATGCAAACTGTGTGTGGTGCGATTTCAGCCATACATTTAATATGGCTCAAATCACACCACATTCGAATCAAAAAGGTGCAGGACCCTTTTTTTGGTCCGCATTAGAATCATATTGATTTCAGGGTGTTGTTAATTTAACATACACTCCCGCAGTGGTTCCCATGAACAGGGTGCGATTGTGATGCGGTGCAGAATGCGCAAATAAACCGATGTGAATTCCGCACCGCATCAGTGTGAACCCAGCCAGAAGCTTATAGACCATGGGCCATAAGTATCTTTTCCTGGGAGATGGCCCTATACAAGTCTATGAGGATCTTATGGGAATTTAGACAGAAAATATAAATAAAGTCACTGGAGGAGGTGTTTTTAATGTAGGGTCTGAGATTGTGAATTGCGGCATTATTCCATCTGCGTGATGAAACATTTGTCCAGATTTATCATAAGTAAAGTAGAGCAGTCGTGAAAAGATGTAAAGTACTGATGTACAAATGATAATGTTATATGTATGAATTAAATTTTTCATAGGTATGAATTAAATTTTTCATGCATTCCTGGAACTACTGCCATACAACTGTGAGCTCAATGTTCACTGAGGCTCAGACGTTGTGAATCTTTCATAAATTAGTTCTCTTATATTCCCATAGATATCATCAGTGTGGTTCTCAAACAGAGTTTCTACCAATTCCTAGTACAGTTTTTAATATACATGAGAACATTGTCTACTCAGAGCCACGTTCCTTCATTAAGTTTGAGCTGGAAAAAAACAGACCAGCGCAATTTCACTAAAACTTCAGTTCATCTGTTTTCAGAAGACACCTATGGCATCAATCAATGGGCTGAATTATCAGAGTGAGCTGGTTGGACTTAGCAACTGGCCAAGACTGGACAAACACCCGGCAAAGGTTGGGTCTTTGTGTGCGGTAGGAGCTCACTGATTGGTATCAAAGGACTACTAGAGAAAAATGTTGCATTCTGGTAACAGTATGAGATTAATACCTGGGATGAAAGTGTTCAGTATATAAATTCTTTATTTATTTCACATGCATTTGTTTATATTTTTCTCCACCTTTATATACAGGCCAAGTTGACAGCAATGCTCAGCTTTTATCTATATGTTCTCATGTACACAGGTATATTATGGATGCACAGCATAAAATTCTCTCTTTTTTCATGCCAGGGTGCCCAGGCGCTGCATACAGCTGCGCAGAGACATGAATGGCTATGTGTGGCTGTATGTGGGTCAGGGGCGGACTGACAACTCATGGGGCCCCCGGGCAATTGGGAATTATGGTGCCCCTGTGTCCTTTCACACACTCAAAACACACCCCCAAAAAGCCTATAAAAGGTACCAGGAGCATTTTATGGGGCTCCCTACTGACCCTGGGCCCTCAGGCAGTGCCCGAGTGCTCGAATGGTCAGTCCGCCCCTGATGTGGGTATAATCATCAGCTTATTGGCAGCAATCTCATCAGCATTCCTGGCAGTAATCTCATCAGCATTCCTGGCAGCAATCTCTGGTTACTGAGGGATGCATTCACACCTGGATGTCATCGGATTCTCAGCTCACATGACCCCTTCATTCAGCATCATCCCAAAACATGGCTGCAGTCTCCTCTTCCTGTTTACTAAACTCCAACTCTGAGTGCAAAAACCCCCCCTCTTCATGAATATACAAATATCTATACAGTCTGAGCCTGTGTTAGAAAAACAGTGACATCTTGTGGCTAAACCGCAGAATGTCAGTCAAAACATTAATTTACTTCCACACAGTGTTCAAACAATGAGAGCTGTTTCCCCATCTCACACGTACTCTTGCTCTTAGACCTCTCCGCTGCCTTTGACACAGTTGACCACCCCCTCCCCCCTCCTCCTCTAGAAACTCTATTTACTTGGTCTCCGTGACTATACTCTCCATTGGTTTGAATCTTACCTATCTCACAGCACCTTCAGTGTCACTTACAACTCTACTTCCTCCTCTGCTATTCCTCTTACTGTCAGGGTCCCCCAAGGTTCTGTCCTTGGGCCTCTCCTATTCTCGATCTACACTTCTTCTTTGGGTCAGCTGATAGCTTCCCATGGTTTCAAATACCATTTCTATGTTGATGACACACAAATCTATCTCTCTACTCCTCAGCTCACCCCATCAGTTTCCACATGTATCACCGATTTACTAACAGACATATCAGACTGGATGTCACTCCACTTCCTAAAACTCAATCTATCCAAAACTGAGCTCATAATATTTCCTCCCCCATGTGCCTCTTCCCCTGATTTATCAGTCAGGATCAATAGCACCACTATCAACCCATCCCTGCATGCCAGGGTGCTAGGTGTAACCCTGGATTCTGAACTATCCTTTCAGGCCCACATCCAATCCCTGTCCAAATCATGCCGCCTCAATCTCCAGAATACGCCCCTTCTTAACCAATGATACCACAAAGCTCCTAATTCACTCCCTGGTAATCTCTCGACTCGATTACTGCAACTCCCTCCTCATTGGCTTACCTTTACATAGGCTATCCTCCCTCCAGTCCATCATTAATACTGCTGCCAGGCTCATCCACCTTACCAACCGTTCAGTGTCTACTACCCCTCTCTGCCAATCCCTCCACTGGCTTCCACTCACTCAACGAATAAAATTCAAAATACTAACAACAACTTACAAAGCCATCCACAACTCTGCCCCCAGCTACATCACCAACCTAGTCTCAAAATATCAACCAAACCGCTCTCTTCGATCCTCCGAAGACCTTCTGCTCTCTAGTTCCCATGTAACCTCCTCCCATGCTCGCCTCAAGGACTTCTCCCTAGCTTCTCCCATCCCATGGAACTCTCTACCCCAACCTCTTCGGCTGTCTCCTAATCTATCCACCTTTAGACGATCCCTGAAAACCTTTCTCTTTAAAGAAGTCTATCCTGCTTCTATCTAGTAAACTGCCATTTATTTCCTCCATCAGCTCATCCCCCCCACAGCTATTACCTTTTGTATCACTCAACCCTTCCTCCTAGATTGTAAGCTCTAACGAGCAGGGCCCTCTGTTTCCTCTTGTACCAAATTGTATTGTAACTCTAATGTCTACCTTCATTTTGTAAAGCGCTGGGCAAACTGTTGGTGCTATATAAATCCTGTATAATAATAATAATAATAATGTACACCCATGTAAACTCACCGACAACTTTATTAGGTACGCCTTGATAGTGCCAAGAAAATATCCCACACACCATTATACCATCACCACCACCACCAACTTGAACTGTTGATACAAGGCAGGATGGATCCATGCTTTCATGTTTTTGACCCCAAATTCTGACCCTATCATCTGAATGTCGCAGCAACCATTACCCTCTGACATCAACAAGGCATTTTTATTCACACAACTGCCGCTCACTGGATATTTTCTCTTTTTCAGACCATTCTCTGTAAACCTTAGAGATATTTGTGCATGAAAATCCCAGTAGATCAGAAGTTTTTGAAATACTCAAACCAGCCCGTCTGGCACCAACAACCATGCCACGTTCAAAGTCACTTAAATCCCCTTTCTTCCCCATTCTGATGCTCAGTTTAAACTTCAGCTAGTCATCTTCACCACGTCTGGATGCCTAAATGCATTGAATTGCTGTCATGTGATTGGTGGATTAGCAATTTGTGTTGCCAAGCAATCGAACAGGTGTACCTAATAAAGTGGCCGTTGAGTGTATATTTTGTAGAGGTAGTCCCTGAACACAGGCTTAGTGCATTTCAGGAATACATCTGTATGCTATTCGTGGGTTTACGCAGCACTTGAGCTTCCTTGGCGTGGAAAATAGCCAGAATTCTATATTGTGCAGTCCTAATGTGCCCGTGGGAATGCAATCTTCTAAATGAAAAAAAAATGCTGTTGTAACTGCTTAACAAGTGTAAGCTGGAGGTAGGCTTTCATTTGTTTGCCACTTCCCTAAAGTCCATCTAAAACTACCATTTCCACATACTATATGTGTATATATATATATATATATATATATATATATATATATACACACACTATATTGCCAAACGTATTGGGACACGCCTCCAAATAATTGGATTCAGGTGTTCCAATCACCTCCATGGCCACAGTTGTATAAAATCAAGCACCTAGGCATGCAGACTGCTTCTACAAACATTTGTGAAGGAATGGGTCGCTCTCAGGAGCTCAGTGAGTTCAAGCGTGGTAGCGTGATAGGTTGCCACCTGTGCAATAAGTCTATCCATGAAATTTCCTTGCTACTAATTATTCCACGGTCAAAGGTTAGTGGTATTATAACAAAGTGGAAGCAACTGGGAAGTAGTAGTCCACGTAATATGACAGAGCAGAGTCAGCGCATGCTGAAGCACACACTACTCAGAAGTCGCCAACTGTCTGCAGAGTCAATAGTTGAAGACCTCCAAACTTCATGTGGCCTTCAGATTAGCACAACAACAGTGCATTGAAAGCTTCATGGAATGGGTTTTCATGGCCAAGCAGCTGCATCCAAGCCTTACGTCACCAAGTGCGATGCAAAGCGGCGGATGCAGTGGTATAAAGCACGCTGCCACTGGACTCTAGAGAAGTGGAGACATGTTCTCTGGAGTGAAGAATCACACTTCTCTGTCTGGCAATCCGATGGATGTGTCTGGGTTTGGCGGTTGCCAGAAGAACAATACTTGCCTCACTGCATTGTGCAAAGTGTAAAGTTTGGTGGAGGGGGGATTATGGTGTGGGGTTGTTTTTCAGGGGTTGGGCTTGGCCCCTTAGTTCCAGTGAGGGGAACTCTTAAGGTGTCAGCATACCAAGACATTTTGGACAATTTAATGCTCCCAACTTTGTGGGAACAGTTTGGCGATGGCCCCTTCCTGTTCCAACATGACTGCGCACCAGTGCACAAAGCAAGGTCCATAAAGACATGGATGAGCGAGTTTGGGGTGGAGGAACTTGACTGGCCTGCACCTCAACCCTGACAGAACACTTTTGGGATGAATTAGAGTAGAGACTGTGAGCCAGGTCTCCTCATCCCACATCAGTGCCTGACCTCACAAATGCGGTTCTGTAAGAATGAGCAAACATTAAGGCAGGCGTCCCAATACTTTTGGCAATATAGTGTGTGTGTATATATATATATATATATATATATATATATATATATATGTTTTTTTGTTTTATACAAATTTGTGTAGAGTGTAGCTTTAAAGAGTACAATGTGCCTCATCTAAATCTCTGCACAGTTTAAATACAAAAGTGAACAAAATGATAGTCTTGGCTTTGGCACCAATGCTTCTTCAAGTACATCCAAAAGTCTGTACATGTTTATGTCGTTACTAGATCTGGAAATAGAGAATTTCACAATAACCTCAAATTGCTGGAGACTTCATAGAATTCCGAAATTTATGAAACCCCCAAATACCATTTGAGCCACAGCTGGTGTTTGGACTTACTGTGGTGGAGCCGGCGGACTATCCTTTGCAATCTCTATGGGCATTGATAATAAGGACTACAATAGAAGTGTGCCTACAAACTTTAAAGTGGTTGTAAACCTCAGACATAAAATATGAACAAAGCATATCCCTCGATAGTGTGTAGTTGTCTCAATTGTGAGCACTAAGGGGTTGTTTTACTAAAACTGGAGAGTGCAAAATCTGGTGCAGCTTTGGATAGAAACCAGCTTGCAGAAAATCAGCTTCCAGTTTTTTGTCAAAGCTTAATTGATCAAGCTAGAGCAGGAAGCTGATTGCACTCTTCTGTTTTAGAAAAGTAAAACCCTAGTGTCATTTTTGTATGCTATTTCCTTCCTTTTCTATCAGTATAAATCACTTTTGACCCGTTTTCCTGACACCAAGAGAAAAAAGGTGACAGGGGAGGCACCTACAGCACATAGCCTGTGATTGAGAGAATCAGCTCTTTTCCTGTGTGCTGTGTGAAGGGGTGTGTGTTCACCTGCTCGCATTTGGCGAGTAGAAATAATGTGGGGGTGAGTGTTTCCACTATACTCACCCAGCTCTTCTCCTCTGGCTTATCCTGGCAGCCCCGCCTCCCGAGTAAGTGACTGCCCCCAGACACTCCTGGCTCTGCTCAGCGGCCCCACCTCCATGTTCCGGCTCCCAAGTAGATGATTGCCCCCAGAATGTTTCTGGCTCCTCCAGGCAGCCCTGCCCCCCGTCCCAGCACCCGAGTAGGTGATTGCCCCCAGAATGTTCCTGACTCCTCCCGGCGGCCCTGCCTCTCCAGCCTGGCTCCCGAGTATGGTGATTGCCCCAGGTGGTCATGGCTCCTCCTCCGGTCTCACCCGGCGCCCCTACCTCCCCAACCCAGCTCCCGAATATGATGGTTGCCCCCAGGTGTTCCTAAATCCTTCCAGTTGGTGGAGTGCTCGCCCTTAGCAGCTCATCTGACCCACTGTCCCATCTCCCCATCTTCCTCCCCAGGGAAGGATGCTGGGGATGTGAGGACCAATCAAGATCTCCCAGGATCTGCCCTTCCTCTCCAGTACCCAGAATTGTCCTCCCCTAGGGTGCAGCTATGTGGATGGGGAAGGATCAGGAGCAGTTCCAGGCTGCCATGGCTGAGAATCTGGGCATGGTGCAGAAGCTGCTGCAGAGACCAAAGGTGGGCAAAGCCAGTAAGTGCACCCACCAATCTACCCACCGGGATTGATTTACTAAAGGTAAATATACTGTGCACTGCAAGTGCAGTTGCTTTATATCTAAGGGGAAACTCTGAAATGAGGTAAAGCTCTGCTGATGTATTTCTTCCAATCATGTGCAAGCAAAAATGCTATTTTTTTTTATTTTCCTTGCATGTTCCCCTCAGATCTAGAGCAAATGCACTTTCAGTGCACAACCTATTTACCTTTAGTAAATCAACCCCACTGTGTCCTGGGAGGTGTGAAGGGGGTAGAGAACATTGCTGTGGGGGGTGGAGTGTGTGCAGGGGATAGAGGACATGGCTTTGGGGGGTGGAGTGTGTGAAGGGGGGTAGAGAACAAGGCTGTGGGGGGATGGGGTGTGTGAAGGGGGGTAGAGAACAGGGCTGTCGGGGGTATGAAGGGGGGTAGAGGACATGGCTGTGGGGGGTGGGTTGTTGTGTGAAGGGGGGTAGAGGACATGGTTGTGGGGGGTGGAGTGTGTGAAGGGGGGTAGAGAACAAGGCTGTCGGGGGTGGGGGTGTGGAGGGGGTAGAGGACATGGCTGTGGGGGTGGAGTGTGTGAAGGGGGTAGAGGACATGGCTGTGGGGAGTGGGGATGTGAAGGGGTGTAGAAGACATGACTGTGGGAGTAGAGTGTGTGAAGGGGGGTAGAGAACAGGGCTGTCGGGGGTATGAAGGGGGGTAGAGGACATGGCTGTGGGGGGGTGGGTTGTGTGAAGGGGGGTAGAGGACATGGTTGTGGGGGGTGGAGTGTGTGAAGGGGGGTAGAGAACAAGGCTGTCGGGGGTGGGGGTGTGGAGGGGGTAAAGGACATGGCTGTGGGGGTGGAGTGTGTGAAGGGGGTAGAGGACATGGCTGTGGGGAGTGGGGATGTGAAGGGGTGTAGAGGACATGACTGTGGGAGTAGAGTGTGTGAGGGGGGGTAGAGAACATGGCTGTGGGGGGTGGAGTGTGTGAAGGGGTAGAGGACATGGCTGTGGGGGATGGGGGGGGTGAAGGGGGGTAGAGGACATGGTTGTGGGGGGATGGGGGTGTGAAGGGGGGTAGAGGACATGGCTGTGGGGGGATGGGGGGGTGAAGGGGGGTAGAGGACATGGTTTTGGGGGGGTGGAGGGTGTGAAGGGGGGTAGAGAACAAGGCTGTGGGTGTGTGTGAAGTGGGTAGAGGACATGGCTGTGGGGGGTGAAGTGTGTGAAGGGGGCTAGAGAAAAAAGGCTGGGGGGGGTTAAGGGGGCAGAGGACATGGCTGTGGGGGGTGGAGTGTGTGAAGGGGTAGAGAACATGGCTGTAGGGGGGGGGTGTGTGAAGGGGGGTAGAGGACATGGCTGAGGGGGGTGGGGTGTGTGAAGAGGGGGTAGAGAACATGGCTGTGGGGGGGGGGTTGTGTGAAGGGGGGGGTAGTAGAGGACATGGTTGTGGGGGTGGAGGGTGGGGGGGTAGAGAACAAGGCTGTGGGGGTGGGATATTGGGGGGGTATGAAGGGGGTAGAGGGCATGGCTGTGGGGGGGGGTTGTGTGAAGGGGAGTAGAGGACATGGTTGTGGTGAGTGTGTGAAGGGGGGGGTGGGGTTGTGTGAGTAGGTTGTGGGAGTGTGTGAAGGGGGAGTAGAGGACATGGTTTTGGGGGGGGGGGGGGGGTGTGTGAAAGGGAAGTAGAGAACACGGCTGTGGGGGTGGTGGTGAGTGAAGGGGGTAGAGGACATGACTGTACGGGGTGATGGTGCGTGAACTGAATTTTCCTTTTATGTTTACATTGCTTTATGTTAATATTGTTAAATTTTTGTTAATATTTTTTTTTTAACTTTATTCTGCATAAAACATTTAACAGTGTCATTTCATGAGATAATTTAAGTGGGCATGTTTAGGGGTGGAATTAGGGGCAGGGCAGGGTAAGGGTTTGGTGGGGTAACTGGTGGAGAGTAACTCTTCAGGCCTGGCTTGTAGCTCTGGACTTGAAATTTTGAGCCCTGGTGTGCCTCATGTATATATACATACTGTAACTGCATTTATTAGTAACTTTAATAAAATTATGTTATCTTTTACGTTTATCTTTAACTTCTGAAGATCCCTTAATAAAGGGTGATATGTGTACAATAAATAAACTATTCTACATACAAAATGTAAACATCTCCCAAGGGATTCCATGCAGCATGATCCATGTACAACATTCCGGGCTGGAAATTCTATCCTGTGTTAAAAAACAGGAAAACATCATCTTGACAACATATGTGCACAGCACCAAAGAGAAGTGACTCCACAACTGATATAGTGTGTGTTGCTTATTCTATGTTTTCAGGGAAACATGCCTCTGGAGAGAAACATCCTTTCACTTTCATGTGGGCGTTAATTAAAGGATGACCCAGCATAATCTTGCAGGGAGGTTTATCTGAATAGAGAGATCTAAGAACACAGAGGTTTGTTCCTCCTTTCAGATCAATTCAACAATGACTTTCACATTGACACCTTTATTCCATTTTAGAAGAAGATCCATAGAGGTATCTCTTGTTGAATCAGATTGGAACAGAAAGGAACATGTCCATTCTGTGTTTTCCTCCATTTTGTGATGGAAGGAAAACATGCCCATGTAGTCCCTATGAGTGCCAGATGTAAACAGATGTGCATTCACCTATAGCCACCCACATCTGGTCCGGTCCACAAAAGCAGACATTGACCAAATTATTATTATTATTATTATTATACAGTTTTTATATAGCGCCAAAAGTTTGCTCAGCGCTGTACATTACAATGGGAGACAATACATGAGACAGTACAATAACAATACAATACACAAGGGGTTCAAGGGCCCTGCACCTTGGACCTTACAATCTAGGAGGGAGGGGATAGTGGTACAGGAGGAAATGGCTGTGGGGGATGGAGTGGTAGAAGGAGTGGAGGAGATCGGCAGTTAGGTGAGAGCGGGGTAGGCTTCCCTGAAGAGATGGGTTTTAAGGGTGCGCCTAAAGGTGAGGAGGGTTGGTGACAGTCTTATGGATTGGGGTAGTGAGTTCCAGAGGATGGGGGAAGCCCTGGGGAAGTCCTGGAGTCGGGCATG